TATCTGTCTGCTTGATCTAGTCAGGCCTTGTCTATCCTGGGGTTTTAGATGCCTGTGCAGCTGCACCACTGCAAACCCCTAGGGGGCGCCAGTATAAACCACTGCTTTCATCAGGATGGATTTACCCTGTTTCAAACCACTCGTCTACACTAGATGTTTGCATCAGATAAGCTACCCCAGAGGCTAAAACCCCCAGAGTAGATGAGACCTCAGTCCTGATTCAGCGGAACAAAAGTTAGCATTTGTGCTAAAGTCTTAGGGATGCAATAAAGGGACGAAATTCCTGCAGTGCTGCTATCCATGGGGAACCCAGAAGGGTTAAATCAATTCAGACAAGAAAGATAGAGGTAAAAAAATATTAAGTAAATCCAATGACTAGGGGAGACAGAAGAGATGGCCGTGCTGCCCCAGACAAAAATGCCTAGGAGTCACCTGTTTTAACTATCAGGAATGTCACTAACTAATTATCTGCATAACCCAGAGATTTATTTTCTCAAATATTTTTCTCACTTCTAATGGGAAAAAAAAGGTGGGAAGAGAAATGCAGCTCTTGGGCTCAGCAAGGTCTGACCGCATCTTGTTGAATCAGGGTCTTAGTGCCAGACCTCCATGGACTTCACTGCGAGTCGGACCAGGCACCAATCGCCTTCACCTTCCTCAAGCCTTTGCCAGCAGCACTGTGTGTACTGAGCACATCGAAATCATGCATTCGGACGCGGAGCTCGGGAAACTCAGGTACTGCCAAAAAGTCCCATGCAAAGCATTCAAAAGGAAAACCAAATGTTTTGCAATCCAGTGTAGGTGAATGGGAGGAAATTCTGCAGTGTTTCTGTATCTGTCGCACAGAAGACACTGAACAGGGATATTACAATCATGCACTAGGCCTGAGGCCTGTTAAACGAAACGCAAATATCAGACTGTGCTATACGCTGACATTCATGCATCCAAACTGGGGTGACTGGAGCTATTTCACTTGGCCACAGTGTCTTTTTTTCCACCTCCTCTTCCTCTCTCGCCTTTGATACAGACTTAATCTTTGGTTGAATTTAGCTGGACCAATTGAAATGCTGCATGACATGGCAGCTCATCTGTGCAACAGAATGGCCCCAAAGAAAGCTCTAATCCCAGACAGTGGCACAAACTCCCCTGGGAACTAAGGACCATCCCAAACCTTACCATCTTCTACTCCAAGTGCCGGGCACATTTGGTCAACCTGCCTTCTCTAGTGCACGCAGAGCAACGTGCACATTTTAAAACACAAAAAACAACTCCCTGCCCTGGGAAGAGAATGAACCATACAGCTCGTCATTTAAAGCACAACTGGAAGGTGCTCAATACGACGGTGATGAAGGCAGGATCAGAACCAACGTAGAATAGATTCCCACACCTGAAGATCACGCCCACTGTTCAACCTTGTTTTAACTTATTCCATCGGGACACTGAGTATCACCACCCCTGCCTTTACCACCTCAGACCTTTCAGAGGCTGCTTCCTCGTTCTGCGTCTGCTCTTTCTGTTCATCCCGATTCAGGCAGGGTCACAGATGGACTGTAATTGCGAGAGGTCAATTTAATTTCAGATGTTAAATAACTGTCATACCCTTCTTCCAGTGTAACAGCAGTTGTCAAGGCAACGAGAAGTATTTCTTTCCACCACACCCATCACAACAAGCGTCAACACGTGGAAGGGCACAAACTGGTTGGTTTGTTGTTTGGCTACTCAACCACGTATGTCAATTTTGATGAAAATAATCTTTTCGCTTTTCAAACCATGTGTCCTGGTTACCTTATAAAACGCAGCATGTCTAGTGGGAGAGCAGGGGAGCAAGGAGTCGGGAGACCTCAATTCTGTACTTGGCTGTGCCAGTCACTCCCTGCGTAATCCCTTCCTTTCTCTAGGCCTCAGGTTTCCTCTCTGTAAAATGGGGCTCAGAATGCGTACCCACACTGGGAAAAGATTTCAAAGCGAGAGGATGAACAATGCTGCACGAGTTCAGTTATGCATCTGATACGGAGCACTCTGTCCGAGGCATACAGGGGCAGCCCAAGACTGGGATAGCGAAAGCTGTTTATCTAAACAGAGACTGTTCACGATGTGTTAAAAGGGAGACCATCAAGCCAGACAGGCCTACAATGAGGCCCCCAAAATGAGCCCCCTAGCTGCCCCATCTTGTGGGCGCACACTCACATAGCACAAACATGCACGTGCAAGCCATTCTTGTGAGAGCTCAGGAGGGCTGAGACCAGGATTCTCAAACACTTTAACATGCTGCTGATTTACGCCAAGGGAGCAGTCAGGCAGAGGACAGGGACAATTCGAGTCATTCCTGTCACCGGGGCAAACAGGGTGCTGTCCCACTCGGCAGGAAGGGGGAGGACCTTATGGGCGTCGCATTGCCGGCAACAAAAACATATATTTACATGTTTCAGAGTAGCAGCCGTGTTAGTCTGTATCCGCAAAAAGAACAGGAGTCCTTGTGGCACCTTAGAGACGAACAAATTTATTTGAGCATAAGTTTTCCTGGGCTACAGCCTGCATCCGACGAAGTGGGCTCTGGCCCACGAAAGCTTATGCTCAAATAAATTTGTTCGTCTCTAAGGTGCCACAAGTACTCCAGTATATTTACATGACACAGGACAAAGGAATTCGTCCCACCAGTTTCAGAATGGGTTAAGGCTATGAACACCAACCCAGCACTCGGCCAGAAACACTGACGATGACACAGGCCCCGCATTGGAGCTCAAATTGGATATAGCTATATCCGTTAATATGCTCTGATTAGATTGTATTTTGGGTAGGGTTTTTCATTTGATCCCATGAGCCATGAATATTGCCTCACAATGACATACCAGTGACATACCATCCTTATGTGTGCAATTTAAGAAAATAAATACAAAGAATTCTGCTCCTCTCTGTGAGTACCACCCTGTTAAAACACAAGAGGAAGGGTCCGTGCATGGTCTGTGCGATAGACATTCCTCTAGGGAGCTCCAAAGCAGACTCTAGGAAGGAGGGCTGCACTTCACGGACCAGCCAAAACAACTGTTAAGACGATAACTCAAGAGCCATCTCTGGCAAAGAGGTGACATGTGGCGGTGGCCTGGGATTAGGTCCAAGCCCAGAATCTTGCAGCCCCAAAGGACACTGCTTTGCCTCAGTTTTTAAGCAGAGTAAATATTGGTCCTGTGAACTTTCCCAAAGGAGCTGACTAAAACCCAGAAAAGAAGGAAAAATAAAGGATTGAGACAGATGAACTGGGGTCCTAAGCTCACAGGCTCTGCTTGCACCAATGGCTGTCCCTTTGGAGACTCCACAGAATGCCGAGTCCACTAGAGAGATAAAGCGTACGCTTTCCCTCGGAATTCTCTCCCGCGGGTGAGTCAAAGTGAGACGAGGGGCAAACTTTCAAAGCACCTCCTGGCAGTTCAGCTCCAGGACACCTGCTAACGCAGTGGTATCCCCAAGCAACCCCTGGAAGCGTAACCGTGTATTACCAGAGCATGGCCTTTAATGGCTAACAGCACTTAGACTGGAAGCTGTCTGGGGCAGGGGGCCATCTGTTTGTTCTGTGTTTGTACTGTGCCTAGTGCCCGGGGCTCCTGGTCCACAGCTGCGGTCCTACATGCTACCACAATACAAGCAAGGACCATATCCTTAAGGGGTTTAAATGGAAATAATGCTTCACATTTGTACAGTACCCTGCACCAAAGAGCTAATATTAGTTAATGGAACCTCATAACATCCCTAAGAGACAGGGAAAATGAGACACAGAGAGAGCTGAGGCGACTCTCCGAGGTCACATGGTGGGTCACAGGACCCACTAGGACCCAAGAGTCCCAGTTCCCACTAACCACTAGGTCCTGCTGCCCCTCCACTACCTGTAGACAGCTCTGAGAATCCTTCAGGGAACGTCTGACCCTTCCCCTGACAATATTATGCTCTTTTCTGTCAACACAGCCAATGAAACCCTCTCAGTAACAGGCGCGAGTGACCAGGCAGCCGGCTAGCTTTCAAAATGCCATAAATCCAGTCGGGTTTAACTTGTATCTTTTAACCAGCCGAAGTGATGTGTTCACGTTCCAAACGACTCTCCTGCAAAACCACGTTCGAAAACCAGAGACCTGTGCAGCGAGGACAGCCCTGGCTCTAAAACAACCCAGGGGCTGTGGGCGAGAAGGTGATATCTCCGGCTGAAGCCCCTCTGGGAGCAATGAAACCCCCTCTCCCCTCACTCTGCTGAATCCCTTCGATGCAGGTCACTGAAGAGTCAGTCCAGCAATTCGCCCCAGGCAGGCGATGGGGCTCCTGGGGGAGCTCCTGCAGTCTCCCAGGATTGGAGCCACTCTCGCCTTTAGGTGCACAGCGCAGCCCAGGCCAGTAAAGCCACAGGGGTGAGTCTGGGACTGTCGGTTTTTTGGCTGCCCAACTAATCATCCCTAACCGCTGCTAGTAATTACACAACCTCTGCTGGCAGGGCCCGTGACCGACCCTGCTGGGAGCTGGGAGTCAGTTATTAGCAATGGTCACAACAGATAAAGGCAGATCCCAGCATTACTGCCTGGGGGGAGACCCTGCACCCCAGATAAACCCCAGCCCTGCACCACCCCAAATCACCAGCTCCCCCGCAGCGCAGCGGGCCGGAGCGCAACCTTGCAGCAATCACAAACAAAACGAATAAACAAGATGGGGGGGGGGGAAGTACAGCCCCCCCTCCCTCTCCCAGCAAGAGCCATTCAACGGGCAGCCGGGCGCGCTGACCCCCAGGGCGCCCCCTAAAACAACATCTGGACCATCCCCTAGTCTCCCCCGGACGTCACGCTCCAGATGTAGCATCCCCCCCCCCAAAAAAAGCCTTCAGGAGCCTCCCCCCACAGAACCCAGGCTCTGGTTCATCCAGATGCGCACAAACACCTGGCGCATCCTCCATCCCCCCCCCCGCACATCTGGCCCCCCCCGGGAACCCCTGGCTCCAGCTGCGCGGGGCCCGGCCGCAGACCCACCTCCTTCTTGACGGTGCGCAGGAGACGCTGCCGGGTCTCCGCCTCTGTGGGGGAAAGGGGGGAGAAGCGCGTTAGTGCCCCCGGCGCAGCCCGGCCACGCCGCCCGGATCCCCCCGCCCGGGCGCCCCGTCCTACCCGCCGGAGCCGCGGCCATGGTCCTGCTCCTCCGCCGGGCGCCTGCGCCTCTGCCGCAGCCCGCGGGAGGGAGGGAGGGAGGCAGCGGCAGCCGGGCAGGGCAGGGCAACGCCGCCCACTTCCAGGGACCGGCGGGCGGGGCTCCCCCCCCCAGCCCCTAAAAACACCATCGCCTCAGTTCCACCCACCCCGCGCCGCCCAGGCGCTGGCAGAGCCCGGCTCTGGGAGAGGAAGGGGCCGGGGGGAGCCCTGAGCACTTCCTCTGCTGGTGCCAAGCGCCCGGGGTTACCACCTGTGCCAGGCAAAAACCCAGCACCGCAACCCCCCCGGGATCTAGGGGGATACACAGAGCGAGGACTCGGAGAACATTTTCTTACTGCGGAAGTGGGGTCACTGCAGCATCCTTAGCTGGACACAGGAACTGTTCACGTTCCCTACCCCACTGTCCTGGGATAAGACGGCTAATCTTTCCACCCACCTTCGAAATACCTGGCAGATTCAATTATTTTTCTGGCAACTGGCAAATCCATAAACCAACCAGCCAGGCCAGTCAGATACCAGCCAACCCTATTAGCACGGTCCCCTGCACCTCATCACCCATCTGCACCAACCCCAGGAGGCCGAGTTCAGTGCGATTATCCCTAGGCTACACGGGGAACTGAGGCCCACATCCCTGAAGGCAGATAGGCAGATGTCAAGGGGAGTTAGGGACTCAAATACCTTTAAGGATCTGGGCCTAAGTGACTTGCTCCGGGTCACACAGGGAGTCTGGGGCGGGGAATCAAATGGAGATTTCCTAAGTCATAGGCTAGCATCCTAAGCACTGTCATCTAGTAAGGAGGGCAAACTTCATACAGATTTGGACCTCCAGCTACTCCATCTAGGACGGACACTTACATCCCCGCAGGACTGATTCAGCAAGCACAAAGCAGCTTGCAGGCTTGGGGCCCAGATTTGTAGAATCAATTCTCTGCTGCTCACCTGCCTTTAATAAGCGATAAACAGGGCCGGCTCTAGGCTTTTGGCCGCCCCAAGCAAAAAAATAAAATAATAAAAAAACCTCTGAGAGCGCAACTGCCAAAGCAAAAAAAAAAAGGTGGCCAGAATGCCGCCCCTGAAATTGTGCCGCCCCAAGAACGTGCTTGGTTTGCTGGTGCCTAGACTGGTCCTGGTGATAAATAGCAGCAGCAACACCAGCTGCAGTCCGGTAACAGCAGGTCCAGCCCTTTCGCTCATTGCCACGACAGCTGATGCTAGTTCTCCAGTGGACACTAATAATCATCATCGGTTCAGCCGATAAACCCCTCACTAACCATTCTGTGACTCACACTTCGACTGTTCATGTTGTGTGCATGGTTATGTACGTCACAGGGTGTCCATGAGCTTTATATAAGCACTCACAAATACGCTGGAGGCCTGACTCTTCTGCTCACTTACACCAGAGTAATGATTCACATCAGTGGAGTTATGTCAGAGATCAGTGAAATTAGGGCCAAGCTGGCTGTATTTAGCATGATGATTCAGGCTGCTGAATTATGGTGCCCCTGGTGGCCGCCCTCATCTTTCATGCAGAAGGGTTGTAACCTACAGAGATAATCCATTGGTCCAATCGTCTTGGAAATTATGTGTGGGCCAGATCCTCATCAGACATAAAGTGGCATCACCCCCATTGACTCAGAGGAACTATGCCAATCTACATTAGCTAGCCCATTGCCTTTCCAGCATTGAGACAGTAAGGCTCAAGGAAGTGGTGATGACTTGGACAGGGTTAAACCGCTGAATCCCATAGATGTCTCAAAGAAATATCGTAAATACATAGAAACATCTCTGCCTCTGTCTCATTAACATATTCTCTGTGTTCTCTTTCCTCGTTTGTTCCTAAGGACATTTCCATAGAAACAGGTCCTTTGTTCCTTAGTAGTTCAGTTTCCAATAACTACAAACCATGTTAAAGATGAGGGCAGCTGCAATCAACTTCATCATATGCAAATAAGCTGCGGCCGTCTGGCTGCTGGCAGGTTGGTGATGCAACGCTCAGCTAGGCCTCAGTTTCTCTGATTGAAAAACGAGGTTAATGCTGCCAGCTTCCGAAGGGTGCAGTGAGGCATAGAATTAATTCGTGTTTGCAAAGCACATTGAGATGCTCAGATGATGCATCTGATATAAGTGCAAAGTGTTATTCCCTATTCATCTCATTCTCCTTGTGATCTTCATTTAGTGTACCAAATTCTGTCCATGCCAGGGCTAGGAATCCAGCCAGGGTTGAGAAGGCTGGCAGCAGCTCGCAACACCATCCAGGTAACCACATAGTCTCGCAGGTCCTGAGCAGGGTTCGCTGTTGCTATGCCAGCTGTAATCTATCTACTGGGGTTTATCTGGGATATTTATGCAACTTCCTCAATAATTCCCCATTGATAGCTGTGATCTTGGCATTCTCTCTGTTTGGAGAAACACTGCCAGTCCCTCAGACACGAGCTTAAAGCAAAGTCTCCTCCCTGAGATTGTGATCCCTGATAGCCATCTGCCAACTGCAATTCATCTGTGTCCTAACTAGCCACATGTAAAATGAGGGGTCTTTTGATTCACAAAATATGCCCTGTCAGATAAAGAGCCATCTGCCACTCCTGTCTATTCTTTGACAGAATTTGGCTATAGAGAGAATGAAGAAAGCTTCCGAGAGCATACAATTATTTCCAATTGGAGGCATGTCAGATGAATGTTTGCATTGATAGGCCTTGCTTTCACTTTGCCTATACAGTAATGTACTTGCTTCTGTTCTGGATGGAACGTGTCAGATCAGTTGATACACACACTACATCAGGACCTTTATGGCTTGTGAGTGGGTGTCACTGCCCTCTGCCGGATGGAATATGTTAGACCTACTTCTGTGTATGGCAGAGTTCTCCCTCGCTTGAGGGCCACTCCTTTCATCACCAGGAACTGGCCTGTGTTTTCCATGCAGCCAAAGTCCATGAGTTTTATTCCTAGCATTCTGTGTATGCGCTTAGCTGATCACCATGCAGAGTGTGTACATATAGCAGGAAGCCACAGATCATTACAACCTCCCTCTACAAATCACTCCGTGGCAAGAATCCCAGGAGGATGTGGCTTTGCAAAGAGCAATTAACCAGAAACCAGGGACCCAAGATATATAATAGATCCTACTCTATAGTTTATATAATGCACAGGCCTGGAGAGGCTCTGTGTAACCTGTCCTTAGTTATTTAAAATTAATCCATTCCAAGAGACTACTTCCTGGCAAGTCACATGGCATATGCTGGCTTTTACTGTTCATCTATTGCTAGCCAAGGTCCAGCATAATAAAGAGACTATCCCAGGCATGTATCACAACGGTGTCATTATTCAGTACCTGCATAAGATACAGTTTGTGATGACTGATCAATTTATTTTAATGTAATAAACTAGTACCCAAATGTTGTTACATCCTCTTGAAGAACTTGAGAGCTCCCTTGCTGCAGCAGTTAACAACTGGACATACTTTCACTACATAAGAACATCCTCTCAATTCCCCCTATGATCCTAAATTTAATTATTCCAGGATCTTTCATTTTTATATTTTTAAACAAAAAACCAAGGACAGGAGACAAGACCTGGGGTCTTGGTCTTTTTCTGGGTATTTTTATAGGGACTACTCACTCTTAACATTGGGTACAAAAACAATTATCAGGCTGTAGGTGTCCCACTGATGGAGGTGGTTATCACCTAACTGTGAAAATCAGCAGAGCTGTTTTAGGGTTTTCATGGGATATGTAAACTGGGGGAGATAGGACAAGGTTTTGAAGCTGGGAAGGCAAAAGTCGTAAAATCACTGAGTCAAATGCCATTGAAGTCAATGGCAAAACTCCCATTATTAATTATTAGTTTATTATTTTTGTATTGGCTAATTACTGACATGCTCAGCACTGTGTAACTTACCAGTATAGGCAGACTTCACCCTACAGAGTTTACAGTCTACATTGATTTCAAAATGCACTGCAGGGCTTAACCGTTTATTTCACCATCTTGCTTGTTGTGGGATTCTGCGTCTTTCGCCCAATAAAATTCCTGTTACCTGATTGCGAAAAACCAGCAATTTACTCCTCCATGTAGAGTGGGTCTCTTATCACAAGATGGTGCCATTGTGTTTGGTTTAGTAGAGAAGCTTTCTGCTTTGTGTAAAATAATTGATATTGACTGAGTTGGACAGATTTAATAACTAATCCAGACAGTGTCCCCTTTCCTACTGGGGGGTTGTTGCATTGGCATAATGCTGGTGAGAAAAAGCAGATCTGGACTTGTTTTATCTGAACCCAAACTACCAGATACTCCATCAGGGAAGAAGCAGATGTCAGGAGAACTGACCTGATGGCACAAAGCCCCCTCACTATTGAAATGTTCACTTTAAGGGGTGTTTATCATGCACCACCCCTTGCCCCCCGGCCACCCGAGATAATGGAACACTCCACTGCTGGCATCAGAATGCAGGATTGTCCACTAGAGCAGGACAAAATCTTTTCAACAAATTGGAAATTAGCCAAAAAATGCATTTTTCAGGGCACGGAACCGATGCAAATTCAGTTCAAATTCAGTGAATAGTTTCAGATGAAAAAAACTGACAAAAAATCAGCAATGTCCAAATGAGCTGTTTCCTTCCAGTTTCAAATCAACCCTCAATTTTTTTGTTTGTTTTACCCAAATGAAATTTTGGGTTTTTTTCATTTTACTGAGAAAAAAACAAACAAAAAATGGTTTGGGTTCAAAATTAACCAATTATATTCACTCAGGTCTATTACCAATCCTAAAGTTCAAAAATCATGAATCAGACCCCAGATAATCAAAACACGGCATCAGTTCTGCCCCACCCACCCCATCCTGTGGGAATACTGTCAGTTGCTCCCTCTTCCTCCTCTCAGCTCCTGAGGATGGCGGAGAGCTCCAACCTGCCTCTTGCAGGCAGCCCTGATTGGTTGCTCTTTCCCAGAAGGCGGGCTGATGGTTGAAATTTGGGGGAGGGCTGGAGATTCCCCTGTCATTAGGAGATTGGGCTCCTGCCCCAGCCAGAATCACATGACTGGCAAGGA